AATAGACATTTCTCCAAAGAAGATGTACAAATGGCCAATAAGCACATGAAAAACTGCTCAGCGTCACTAGGGAAATGCAAATCAAAACCACAATGAGCCTGGCCGGGCGTGGCTCGTTGGTTAAGCATCGACCTAGGATCCAGGCGATCAGGGTTCGATTCCCGGTCAGGGCACATGCCCGGGTTGCGGGCTGCAGCCGATCAATGACTCTCTCATCATTGATGTTTCTGTCTCTCTCTCTCCCTCTCCTTTCCTCTCTCTGAAATCAATAAAGATATATTTAAAAAAACAAACAAACAAACCCACAATGAAATCCACTTCACACCCACTAGGATGAGTAAAATAAAAAAGACAATGTCAAGTGTTGAAGAGGAGGTAGAGAAATAGGACCCTTCGTACACTGTTGGCGGGAATGTCAAATGGCACAGCTACTTTGAACTGTCTGGCAGGTCCCCAAATGATTAAACATCAAGTTACCATATGACCCTCAATTCCACTCCTAAGTATACGTCCCGAAGAAATGAAAACATGTATCCGTACAAAAAACTTGTACATGAATATTCATAGCAGCATTATTCATAATAGCCAAAGAGTGGAAACAACCCAAGTATCCGCCAATTGATAGGAAGATAAATAAAATGTGGTCCATTCATACAACTGAGTATTACTCAGCCATATAAAGGAATGAAGTGTTGGTACCTGCTACAGCATGGATGAACCTTTTGGACATGTTAAGTGAAAGAAGTCAGCCACAAAAGTCCACATAGTTTACAATTCTGTTTCTATGAAATGTCCAGAACAGGCAAATCGATAGAAACAGAAAACAGATTAGTGGTTGCCAGGGGCTGGGAGGAAAAGGGAAATCGAGAGTGGCTGCTAATGGGTACCGAGTTTCTATTGGGGTGATAAAATGTCCTGGCATCATATAATGGTGGGAGCTGTACAACTCCGAATATTTTAAAAACCATTGAACTGTGCACTTTAAAAGGGTGAATTTTACGGTACGTGAATTATATTTCCATACAGCTAGTATTTTAAAAATAAAGTCCATAGTGATGACCGGTCACAGTATATAAAACTGCTTCCAGGGTCACTTACTACCATCAATATTTCCCAGCTCAGAGCAACTCTGCCCCTGAACACCTGTCACCTGGATCACTTCTGATCTGCAGGTACCTGGAAGGTGAGCTGTCCAGATCTCTACAGAGCCCAGCACACCTGTCTGAGTCCATTAGGGGAAACTGGGCAGCTTCTCTGAGCTCATAAGCCTGAGAATATCTATAAGACATGCCATGCTCCTGGCTGTCTCACCAGCCCGAGACTAGCCTGACACCCAGAGAATGTTTTCAGCTTGGGGGTTGGGGGATGAGAACATAGGGAGGAAGCAATACTCCATATGCTCCCCTGAATCCCCCAGCTTTCCTCCTTGGCCAGTGGACTGGGAGAGGAAGTGACGTGTCACTCTGGGCCAAGGCAGTTAAGGCTTGTGTGCCTCCATCACCCTTCTCTTCTCCTTTGGTGGTGATCATTCGAAAACAGCTTCAAGATGGTGGAGCCACAAAAGCAGCCAGGTCTTCAACCAGGAGTCGAGACACAATCCCATTGTGTATGAGAAAGAAAGAAATCTCCGTTGTTGGAGCCCCTGAGATTTGGGTTCATTTGTTGTGGCTGTAAGCATTAATCATCCTGATTAATGCACTGCCTTTTAATGAGTCCAGCCTCTCTGGCCAGCGCTCCGTGGCCGGGACCCTCTGGACCCCTCCTTGGCCCCTCACAACCCCACAGCTGGAGTTCATGCCTGTATGATTTCCTCATTCAACAGCCTGATTTTGAAAGCACAGACAGGGAGTAGGCATAAGATGACAGCCACCACTGAGTGAGTGTCTAATAATGTACCAGCTCCCGCGCTTTGTCCTTGCTGGTATTTATGACCCCCCACCACTACCCTCCCCACTCGAGACATGAGCAACCTGAGTCACCGAGAGGTTAAGTAATGTTCCCAAGGCCACACAGCTAAGGAGCCAAGTCTGACTTCTGGCCCAGGTCTACCTGGTGCTAAAAGCCACCTTTCTCACAGCACCCTGCTGCCCTCAGGTTAGCTCTCCACAGCTCTCAGCCCATTCCCAAGGTCACTCAGCTGTGTCCTCTAATGGCCCCAGGGCAAAGCTGGCGTGTATGGGCAACTGCTGAGAGACTCTGGGCAGCATCCAAGGAGTGGACTTGGTGGGTCTGAAGAGCATTATCATGTGGGGGTCAGGAATTTGGCTCTGGGCTTAAGCTTTGATTTTGAGCAGGAACTTTCCAGCCAGACTCCCAGCAAACAAGTCAGACATGGGGGAACACATGCCAGCCAAGTGTCAGCTCCCAAGAAAGAGACATGAGGCAGGAAAGGTGAGGGGTCCGTGGAGGAAGCTTCCTAGGGCCGCCTCATTGCCTTCATCAAACCGACAGGCGATGAATGAGAGCACGCGTCTAGCACTGTGCTGGGGCAGGGGACACTCAGAGAGAGCAAATGCCACCATCTCTGCCCAATGAGTTAATAACCTGCTGCCTATAACAATGACCCTCACCCTATGCACCTGCACCCACTCAGTAGCCATCCCCATGGTTGGGTCTCCCCCACAGCTAAGGGAAATCTGGGCTTGGGGACAATGACTCTGGGGGTTGTCCCAAGACCTCAGCCAATGCTGGGGCCTTGGCCACTAGCTTGTCCTCTCACTCCCCAGCATCTGGGGCGTTTGCAGGACTGAGAAGTAAAACAGGCTCCTGAGAGAGCAGCCACAGGAAGGGCTGGGAAGGCCGTGCAAAATTTATTGTAGGAAAACAGTCGACCCATGGGACCACTTCGACCACCTCCTCCAGGCCCCTGGGCCATAACATATGGTGTGGTTTAAATTTTAAAAACTGAGGAGTACTTAAGGAAAAAATGTTGGCAGGCTCTGAGGCATTTGTAAAATCATCTGAGCGACGGGAGGCTGGGCCACACCCTCCAGGAGATGGAGGCAGCACTGAGCAGAGGTAGGGAAGTCTGGAGGGCCCAGACTGGGGGTCCGATAGCAGCGGCTTCTGGACAAGGTTGGCCAAGGGGGTGATCTGGGACAGTGACAGCCCCTCCTGAGCCTCCCTGACCTCACCTGTAGGTGGAGTCAACAGAATCACATCATGCCAGGGACAGCAAGGACTAAGTGAGCTGGTGCCAGCACACAGTGGGTCCTCAATACATGATAGCTGCCATTGCTTGGAGGGAACCCAAGCAGGTGGCAGCCCCAAAGGGGAAAGGATGGAGACTAGATGGGCAAAGCTGAGCCACCGTGGAAACGGCCTTCGCCAAGGGCAGCCAAAGGTTCTCTTAGCTGGGCCCTGTCACAGGTTCCTCCCTCCCAGGCCGCACAGCTGCCCGTAAACAGGGCTATCTGTCTCTCATCTCCAAGGCTGCAACCATCAGAGAATATCTAGGCGGCTTCTAGCTCCCTGAAGGTGCTCAGCCAGTGAGCTGTCCTCACACCCCCTGGAGGGAAGGAGCTACTGTGGGTTAACCCCCTTGTGTCACATGGATGCCTTCACAAAGGGCTGCAGGCTTTCAGCAGCCCAGCTGTTGCTGGAGGAGCTGCTGCACGTGACCTGGATTGTGTCCACAGTCCCACCTGTCTCCCGAGTGGAAGTCCACCTGAGTAACTGCAGCAGCCGGGTTCAGTGCCTCAGCCTTAGTGCAATCGCCCATGGACACAGGCCATGGGGTCAGCACCCCAAGTGGCAGGCAGCCAGGGCCTTTTGAATCAAGCTAATTAAGGATCAACTGATCAAGACTCTTAGGTGGGTGAGGGGCTGCCTTTCTTTAGGGGCTAAATGTCACATGCTGGGCTTCTCTATGTCTCACTGGCCACACACCTCTCCCTGTCTAGAAGTGTCTTCCACCTTCTGCTTCTCATTGTTTGGTTCCTGTCTTGTAAATCATCTGTCATTCCCTCAGTGTGGGTTTGGAGAAGACAGAGTCTGTGATTGTCCGGTTTGTGGGGACCCTCTGAGATGACCTGGTCAAGTCTCACCCATTTTACAGCATAGAACACCGAGGCTTGGGCAGAGGAAGAGCAGTAGTCAGTTAGGAGTCACGCTGTTTCCTGACCTATGTGCCTGTGTGTTGACACACTGTGTGTGGATGGACGGATAGCCAGGACCCTGTCACACAGCTATGGAGACTAATCTGCCAGCAGCCTAGGACATGAAGAGCACCCTTCCAGGGGGGCTGGTGCCCACAGTGTCCAGGTCCTAGGTGAGGATGAAGCCACTGCTGGCCAACGGGGTGCAAGACACATGAAAAGCTGTCTCATCTCAGGCTCTAAAGGCCTCCAGGAGGTGGGTCTGGCGGGGGTGGGGGGGAGCCACTTTTAAGAAAGGGAAACTGAGGCTCAGTGAGGAAACATGACCATGTGGGTAGAAGAGCTGGGATGAGAAGCCCAGGCTCTCAGGCCAGCTTCTCTGACATGGATGGAGAACACATTTATCTCTCAAGTTGGGGGTAAGAAGACACAAGTTCTAAAGACTAAGGCAACCAGGACCCTGGAGGGAGATGTAGGGGGTGGTGTTGCCTCTCTTCCTTCAGCCATGAGGGGGCGCTCTGAGGCGGGGTCAGGGCAGCCCCTGGCCCTCGGTATTCTCCAGAACCTACTTGAGGACATTCCGCACCCTGTTAAGAGTTCAGCTCACACTGCCTTTGCCCACACAGCTTCAGCCACCCTCTTTCCTCCAATCACCTTCAAACCCTTCCCACCACACCCACCCCTCACAACCACCCCTGCTGCCTGGCCTGGCCCACCCGTGTCGGCCCTGCCAGGCATGGGCACTCTGTGGGGAAGGATGAGGATTCTGGATCTCTGGAGACCAATGGCAGCCACCAGCCCGGCACTCACAGCTCCCCACATGGCCCGACACAGGTCGGGGGGCCCATATTCCTGGATCCAGCCTCCCAGTGCTCCTGCTGTAGGGTTTAGGCAGCCTCTTACCTTTGGGGTGAGGTACTTGGTCATAATTTCCTTCCCTTTTTCTCCCAGTTTTTCATCTGGAGTAACTTCATATTCTGCCTAAAACATAAGGAGGAAAAGACCAATAAGCGATTTGCTCCTGAGCTCCTGATAATTACAGAGCCTTCGAGGCCCCTGGCGGAGACACCCTGGAGGTCGCCTGACCCATCCCCTCCTACAGGGCAGGGAGCAGGGGCCTGGAGAGGGCAGAAGACCTGACATCAGTCCAGCCTATTCTGCACCATCGTGGACACGTGCTTAGGACAGCGGCTTTCCTTCCAGGCTGCACATCAGAATGCCTGGGGAGCAAACACTGGTGCTCAGGCCCCAGCCCAAGTCAGACCTTCTGGTGATGAGGGCTGGGCACCCAGGCAGCTGAGGTTGAGATGCCAGGAAGCTGGGGCTGAGAACCACCAACATAGATAAATCAAAGGAAGTCACTGGAAAATAACAAGCCACCAAACTGGGAGGTCCACCCCCAAGAGGCTGCCTTAGGTCATTCAGGCCTTACAAGCTGCGTGACCTTAGACAGTTTCCTTGATCTCTGTAAAATGCACATAGAAAAAGCACCAGCTTTTAGGGTGCTTGTGCAGCTAGAATGTGATAAAGCTCTGGGCCCAGAGCTGGGCACATAATAAATACTCAATTAACAGCTGCCATATGCTTACCACAGTTATTATTACACTTTGCAAGAGAAACAATGATATGGATGCCTACCTTTTGCAAGTTTTCAGCTTACAGGGTGAACACAGAGATTTTTCAGATGCTCTTATCTGAACCTCAAAAGAGCCCCGCTAGTGATGTGGGAGGGCAGGGGCTACTATGAACCCCCTTCCCAGGGTCCTTCAGGGGAGGTGGAAGAGCTGGGACTTGGACCTCTTTCTCCACAACACTGTGGAATTTAGGACTCCCGATGGCAGACTACACCCGTGGGACCCGGCTCTAAAGAAGTGAGCCCTCTGAAAGGTGGATTGTTTTACTTTCCTTGATCCATGAGGGGCTCCTTCACTGACACCTGACGCACTTGCCAAGTGGGTAAAAGACCTGGAGTTACCAAGAAGCTTGGGCAAGCTTGCCTTTCTCATTTAGACAAGGGAACAAATTACAAATTGTTTATAACATTTCAACATCTACCACTCGAGGATTTGTCTATCTCAGCCCAAAAGTATAGCTATTTCAAAAGAGACAGAGACAATGACACCAGCACAGGCTGACCGAAACTCTTTCCCCCGTCTCCCCCTCTGTGGAGTTAGATGCCCTGGATCTTAGGCCTGGTTCAAGGAGATCTCTTATCCCAGTGTCTCGGGGCCAGGTCCTCCCCAGTCCATCCCAGAAGACCCTCCCAGGAAAAGGGAAGCACAAGCAGCACCTGGGACGCCCACAGAGGCAGCCAGTCACGTTTCCATCCTAAGTGACTGTTTCCTTTTATCACCATTTCTCTTTAATGGAGAATCAGGACTTGACGATTTTCTCCAAGGAAGAAACACTGATACTCTGATCATCTGAATGACAGGACTCTGGGGGGATGGACCTGGAAGGAAGCCAACCCACTCACTTTACAGAGCTGGACACCGAGGCACAGAGAAGTGAAGGCCTGGCCTAAAGTCACACAGCTGGTCACAGCCGAGCCGGCACAAGCACAGCCCTCCTGACTGCCACAGGCCCCCTCTCCAGGCCAATGCCTCCTCGCCGTTAGGGTGAGCCCTGTGGGACTGGGCATTTCTTGACGATTTGATTTGACTCATGATGGTCCTTGAGACCATTTAAGGAGAGAAGGTAGCACTTTCTTCTTGAGATTTTCCCCCTCTACGTTCCCCAACAATCCCCCCAAACTGATGTACATGTGAGCACACACCTCCACACAGTACGGAGTACATTACAGACCTACCCTGCAAGGTAGGTATTATCATTCCCAATTTACAGGTGAAGAAACTGAGGGTCTCAGAGGCCAAACACAACCAGTTCAAATACAGGAAAGCCAGCAAAGGACAGGGCTGGGAGCCGAGTCTCGAGCACAACTGACCGCCCTTTGCCAGAGTGAGGAGAGAAGCACCCAGTGTCTGCTGCCCTGGACACCCTGTCTAGTGGTCTGGCACCATGGGAATTTACCCAGACTGCTTTGCAAGGCCCAGACCACCTTTTGGGGTAGCTCAATCCCATGCCGAACCCTGGATTTACACAGTCCCAAAATACATCTGTGAAGTAGCTCTATTTAACCAAGTGGAGGCCTAAGACTCACTAATCAGCCTCAATAACCAGCTGAAAATATTATTGCCTAGGTACTGAAACCCACGTGAAAACAAAATAACATCACTTTTGGGTCAGCTGCCTCCCAGCAGAGGCCCAGCTGGGCGGATGGGCGCCACAGTTCCACAGGGAGGCAGCCGGGAGCACGCGGGGACAGGCGTCCCAGCCGGGCATCAAAAGGCCTTTCTTTGCGAGTCCACGTCAGGTCACTGCCACTCGAAGAGCATTTGTGTTGGGAGACAGAAAACCAACAGACGGCTTCCAGCCAGGCTTTCCACTGATTAAGTCACCTGGAGTGACAGGCCACATCTCTACAGTGACGCCCCTCCCAAGAGGGTCTCGTGGGGTACATGTCCTGAGAGGCCACCTGCAGAGAGGAGGCACCAGGGAAGCTCAGCTGCGGGGCCACCCAGAAACCCACTGTGGTGGGAACACCTCTGCCCAGGTAGTGGGCAAAAGCTGCTGAAGTCAGCTAAACCACATAGGCAGCAAAGAGGCTGGGCTACCAGCCTGCACGATTACAATAATGCTGGCTGGGGAAATGGCAGCCACACAATGGAGAGAGGTAAGCCACATGCAAGGCATGCCCCTGTGACCTCCGTCTGTCAGAGAGCTCCCTCCTACCAGAAATACCAGAAAGGCTGCTGGGACTTGTCCTCTCTCCCACAGAGGGGACACACACTGTCCTCTCGGCTGGAATGCCCATGTGAAACCTTCTGCTGCCCAGAGCTCAACCTGAACAGCCAGAGTGCCAAACAGCACCTATGCCAGCCTACCAGGAGGGCATCTCTCCTCCCCAGATGCATTCAAGGTGCCTGCTGACGGAGGCACCGTTTCATGAGCCCCCTCCGCACTGTGATTTATGCCAAACACAGGCATCACCTTTGGGGAGGAGATGCTGCTCCAATACAAAAGAGCAAAATACTACACTGAGCTCAAGGCAAAGGGGGTTATTTATTATCTGCAGCTGCCAAAGCATCTGAACACCTGCGTGCGTCCTCCTTTAGAAACCGAATGTCATTCTCTGGGCCTCTCTCATGGCACCATCAACCTCAGAGAACGCTGGTGAAAAAATGTCCTCTCTCTCAAGACACTGTTCCCTCAGATGATTTTTAAGAGCATGAAGACTGCAAGCTGGTAAAGGGGAACCTGCCATGATTTCAAAGAAACCGGTTTAAAGAGCAGAGCATCTGGGCTGGGTTCCTCTGGCCTCTGCCAGCTTTAGCTGTCACCTTCTCCCAGGAGGCCTCCTGCCCTGACAGAAAGATGAAGTAAGAGATGCTATGAGGTCTTGCCACCTCTGGCCTCTGTAATTACCGATGTGGTCAGCTTTTCCAGAGACCTCACAGCAGGGACAAGTGACGTTCCTGGTTGGCAGTGCTGCTCACCACGGCCCTTTCTGGAGAAGTACCCGGCTCCACCCACATTGGCCTTGGTGTCCTGCCTGTGCTGAACATGTGGGCTGGAGAGGGGGGAATCTCCATTTGCCCCTCCAGAGCCACTCTCTACCCTGTTGTAGGGCAGGCAAGAGTGAGGGGTAGTTACCTGTTGGCTCCCTCTCCGCCTGGGCACCAGGGGTTCCTGCACCCCTATTTTGAATATCCAGCTCTGCCTGAGCAGACACACTGTTCTCTGATCTTCGGCTGCCACCTGAGGAGCCCACCTGGGTCTGGGTCAGGAAGGGATTCATTGGCAACAGATGGGACAGGACCAGAGAAAGATGGGAGGGAGGAGTGGACTACTGGCCACGCTGGGGTCTAGACTGAGTGGTAGGAGTGGTTACGAGCACACTCAAGCAGTCCCATGGAGAGGTTCATATGTCAAACAACCGAGGCCTTACCAACCCATTGGCCATGTGCACAAGCTTAGAAACAGACAAAGCCTTCAGATGCCTGCAGCCCCAGCCAACATCTTGATATAACCTTGTGAGAGACCTTGAGCCAGTAGTGCCTCAGTAAAACATTTCCAAATCTTGACCCACAAAACTAAGATAATAAATGTTGTTGTTGCAAGCTGCTAAGGTAATTTAAGAACAAACACTTAACAGGCATCTGAACTCATAGCTGAACTCTGAAGTAATGCGTTCATTACTTCATTAAACATTTTTTCTATATGTATTTTTCTACCTCTCATTTAATGAGAAAGCAAGTTCCAGGAAGGCAGAAACGTACTTCTCCTGCTCACTGTGTAGTCTCCAACTGCTAGAGCACAGTGCGACACATTGGAGGCGTCCAACAAGTATGTGCCGAGTAAGTCTGGTTGAGGATCTGCCAAACCTCCCCAACCCCAAAGAGAAGAGACCCAAGTGTAGGCACGGGAGGGTTTCAAAAGAGCTGAGAGGCCATCAAAGCTCCCAGAAAAAAGGTTGGGGAAGTACGTCCATTTTTAAAATATATATATATTTTTAATTGATTTTTAGGGAGAGAGGAAGGGAGAGGGAAGGAGAAACATCAATGTGAAAGCAGAACATTTATCGGCTACCTCCTATGGATCGAGCCCCCAACCCAGGCATGTGCCCTGACTGGGAATAGAATCAGCAACTTCTTGGTGCATGGGACGACGCCCAGCCAACTGAGCCACACCAGCCAGGGCAAGTATGCCCATCTTTAAGAATTCCATGGCAAGACCCTATCGGCCTGTGAAGGTTGATACTAATCTGGAACCCCTTCTGATCCCATAACCAGCTGGGCAAATCCTCCAGAAGCCAAATCTAGTCATAGCCTTAACTTAGCTCACTGACTCCATTTCTTGGTGGCAGGGGTGGGGAGGAGTCCTTCTCAGGTTCCCAGAAGCCCCTCAACAACCATTACTAAGGCTGAATTACCCTGTGGTCTGATGAGAGGGTGCAAAGACAGCTCTGCACCGCCCCTGTCCCCCCGGTCCCATCACCTAGGCCCTGCTCTCAAACAGCCATAGTCTGCTGGACTTGAGAAGCTCAGACACCAGGACTGTGCAGAGGATCAGCCTTTCCCACGGGCTACAGAGCCCGACAAGGATGGGTTATTTTTAATAAACTCCACTTGGCAGAAAATCAGCCTAGAGGTGGGAACAGAGAGGATGGCGCTGGCTGAGCCAGGGAGCACTGGGAGGTATCGTCACCCAGGACAGCACCACCTCCTCCCTCCTCGAGTTCCAGTCCGGATGGAAGGGGGAAAAAATGTACTTCAGACGAGAATTGCGCCAGCCCTGGAAAACTCAATAAAGTCTTCGTGCGTAAAAGAGGTGTTTCCAAAGGCTGGCCACTTGACGTCAAGATGGGCGATGAAAGGGCGTCGCTAATTCCCAGAGATGCAGACGAAACGCCAGGGGGCGGCCGGCCTCTCAAGAGTGGCAGCTTGGTTGAGGAGTATGTAAAGAGCATCTGTCGTGTCAACACAGGGAGCCACACTCACATTTCCTTTCCAAAAAAAAAAAGCTCCTGGTAGAGGCCCAGCCAAAGGGAATGTCTGCATGACAGGAATGAAAATGGGCATCCAATAGGTTGCTTTCTTCTTCTCAAACTATGAGCACCTAACGAGACACAGGGCTGGAAAATTCCACTGGCTCCTGGGCTTAGCCTCGCCCTGCTCTGCCTCATCAACTCTAGACAGGTCCCCAATCTGCTGACACTTCATCTTTTCCAAATGGGCACAGCCTTGGTCCAGGGCTCAGTCCTTGGGTTTTGTCTCTTCTCCATCCACACGCATCTCCTTGATGAGCTCATCCAGCCCGTGGCTCTAAATACCAGCTATATGTTGACAACTCCCCATCTTCCTATTTCCAGCCCAGACCTCTCTCACAAAGTTCAGGCTTGAACACCCTCCTCCCCTCGAACATCTCCACTTGGATGTCTGACAGACACCTCGAGCTGAGTATACCCCCAAAGCGACCCTCCCACAGCCTCCCCCGGACTCCATCCTTCCAGTGGCTCTGGTCAACACTTTGAAGCCATCCTCACTTTTTCTCTCTCACCCCGATGCATCGGAAATACTGTTAACTCTTGCCCTGGCGGTGGCTCAGGTGGTTGGAGCATTGCCCCGTACACTAAAAGGTTGTGGGTTTGATCCCTGGTTAGGGCATATATGGGAAGCTACTGATCATACGGGAGGCTACCGATAGATGTTTCTCTCTTCCTTCCCCCCCAAGTCAATAAAAACATATCCTTGGGTGAAGATTTAAAAAAAGGGAAATGCTGTTAACTCTATTTTCGAAACATGCCCCAAATCCAACCACTCTTACCACTGCCAAATGCTTCCACGCGGTTTGTGTCACCATCAGCTCTCACCTGGACTGCTGCTGCAGCCTCCTATCAGATCTCCCAGCTCCCACCCTTGCCCCTCATAGCCTGTTTCCAACAGAGTCAGAGAGTCCTTGGAACAACAATAAAAATAATGACTGCTGTGCATCAAAATGCACCATGTTTAAATCCACACATTGAAAACTCTAACTGGTTACTACTAGTGAGCCAATTGCTACTTTGAAAACATAAATACAGGGAGAGAATCAAGCATTTCCTGTATGAACTTTACTAAATAGTCATCCAACGTGTTTCCTAGCTGGTAAATGAAGAAGGAATGATAGACTTAGAATGTCGCTATGTTGCAACCCCTAATTAATCAACAGATGTGGGTACTGAATATCAATGGCTGCTGCCGCCTCAGAAAGACAGACACCCAGATAGTATATGTACCCTGAGAGAAGAACATGAGGCACTTATGAAGTCAGCTCCCCCGTCGCAAACTGAAATGAGTCCGACTCAGTTTCTGGATTCAATGATCGATTTACAAGAAATACAGAGAAGCCTTTTAAATGACACATGGGGACAAGAGTGCAAAATTCAGACCACGGGACGCTCTTCTGGATGAACAAGGGGCGATGGCTGTAAACTGTTAAAACATACATTTATAAAAAGTATAAGAAAATCAGAAATGGGAATGCTGACTAAGTAGATGATAGGAAAGAATTATATTTGAGCTATGGTAATGGGATTGCGGTTATGTTTTTGTTAAAAGAACCCTTACCGTTTAGAGGTACATATGAAATGTTCACAGGAGAAATGATAAATGTGAGATCTGCTACAAAATGCTACAGAGGAGTGGAGGTGGGTGAAAAAAGATTGGCCTTGAGCTCATAATTGTTGAAGTGTGGTGAAGGATGCATGGGGGTTCATTATACTATTCTGCAGACTTTTACCTTTTATAGTTTGAAATTTTCCATAATAAAAAGCTATGAAAATACTAGACCCCTCCCCCAGAGAAACAAATTAATGAGTCTGGGCTTCAATTTGAGCACTGGTATTTTTTTAAGGCTCCCCAGGTGTTTCTACTGCTCGGCCAAGGTTGAGAATCCTGTAATCGAGTATTCGAGGCATGCAGAGAGCCTGCATGGAGATCAAGATGAGGCTACGAGGGGAGGGAACTGGTCTGGAGAGTCTAGAAGCCAAGCACATGGTCCTTGGTGAGGTGGGGAAGGGCTGAGGAAGAAGGGGGGCCAAGGACCAGGAAGAATTCAGGCTGGTCATTGGCACAGGGAACATGTCAGGGCTGGTAGTTTGGGGCCTAGGGAGAAGTTCTGAGTTTGTTTAGGACATGCTGACTTTGAGGGGCCCATGTGAGTTCTGGTGGAGACAGTCAATGGACAGTTTGGCTTGTGGGTCTACAGAGCCACACTGAGACCCTGAGGAAGACACAGAAACTTATGCCCAATGGGGTTGTCCCCTGAACCAAGAGAGAGGTTGGGATGGCTGAAGCCAGTAATGCCATGAGGACCTCTAGGGCACAGCAGCACCCTGGCCCCTGCCCTGGGAATGGGGGCCTAGGTGACCACACTCCTTTGATGACTGGTCTGCACTCTTCACCTTGGATAGATACCCCAAGGGCAGTGGGCCAGACTGAGGTGCCCTGCCTTCCTGAGCAGGTGCTGATGAACTGCTGCATAGTCCTACATCCAGTCCTCCAAGCCCACTCAGATCAATCCGCATTTGTTAAACAAGTGAATGGCCAGAACATCTGCAGCAAATCCCCATAGTGTGAATCATGGCCATGTGTGCCAGCAGCTGCCAGATTGGCTTGAAACTGTCAACACATGTTCATTCCACAAACGTGTGCTGAATGCCTGTATGGGCCAGTCACTGTTCGAGGCTGGCAGCGGTGAACTAGAGCCAGGGTCCTGGCCTCGGGGAGCTTGCCTTCTAGTGGGGAGGTAGACGGGAAACAAGTCCACACACACGAGCCTTGAGACTTTAGAAGATGGAGTATCTGCTTGGGGAAGGGGCAATGGAATTCAAGTGCGACCTTAGGGTGTTGGGAAAACCATAGGACTTCCCCACATACAGCCTTGCACAGCCCAGGCTCCCGGAATCAGAGAGCTAACAGGGCCTCAAGTTAAAGCAGCAGGAACCAAGGCCCAAAGGGGGAGACGGCCCACCTGTGGTCACTCAGTGGTTCAGACCCAGAGACAAGCCTGCATCTTCAGAGTCTGCACTGGAAGTTTCTAGAGCAACAATTTTATTCTTCATACCCTCCTAAAACCATATGGCCTGTCTTTTCCTTTGGACAAACACGATTGCTGATCACAGAGGACTGAAGACCCTCCCGCCCCCCAAGACCAGGAACTTACCACTGAGTCCAGAAACTGAATGTAACACTCCAGCCCAGGTCTTGTTTCACAGAACTGCCGGAACAGCAGCCTCCCGATTGGCTGCTTGTCACACAAACTGCAGTAATCTCTGTCTGGAGACAAGGAAAGGAGAATGTGATGAGACCCAGGAGAGGGCCAGGCGGGGCCAACCAATCAACCCACACCCGGATGTAACGCCCGATGGACAGAGCCAGGTGATTGCAAACTCAGGAGCCCTCATTTATCTGTGGGCTCTGCAAGCTCAGGTGATGTCAATGTAGAGGAAGTTGCCTGTTAGGACCCGGCCTCTATGCCCCAGCCCACTCCCCTTTCTGACGCGCTGATTTCTATATGGAGATGCCAACAGTTCTCAGGTCCACGACTGTCCCCAGGCTGACTGATCAGCACGTCACATTCCCTCATTACAGTGACTAGATAAGGGTGGTAGGCCTGTAACCCACACCAGTAAAGTCAGAGTGAACCAGACTCTGGATACAGGTGCCAGGGGGCGAGGCCAGAGTGTGCTGCAGTGTTCTTGACACTGCAGAGGGAGCTGCTGTGAGGATGAGGCTGACACACAGAGGTCAGAACTGGGAGAATTACAAGTAGACTTGGTGCCCTGGTGATGCCAGGAATCTCTGATCAAACCATGCCTGCAGCCCAACCATATCTGAAAAGCTTATAATGAGCTTTGCTTAAGGCAGTTTGAAAGAAATTTTAATTATCCGTAATTCAAAGCATCCTAATACGGTAGTAAAAAAATAAAATTCATTTTTGCCCAATTGGAGCAAAGCCCAGTCTTAGGATTCTTCAACTATGAAAACCCTGCTTTTTCCAGCTGAGGGCTCTAGAGGCACAGACAGGAAGTGACCAGCCCTCAGCCACTCAGTAGCCACGAGAGGCCTAGCCAATGACTTGCTATGTGACTTTAAGCAGCTTACTTGCCCTTTCTGGGCAACAGTCTTCCCCTGAAAATAAAGGCCTGTGTTTGAAGTAAGAGGGAGGTTGGAAGGGGGACCCTTTTTGGCTCTTCCTACAATGACTCTGCAAGAGGCTTTCTCTGGCCAGAAAGATGCTCAAAGGATTGACTGAGATTCGTAGCCCTGAACCTTCTCGAGCACTGCAAATTAGCCCTTTGATCCTGTAGCTGTGCAGAGACAATCAGGAGATTTCATGGGGAAACCAGGAAGCAGGATGAATCAGACCTGGGTTAGGAGAGCTACCTGAACAGAAGGAATGACTGTTCTTGCCAATGCAGAGAAGGAGCCAGGACGATCATTCCCCTACAGGGCATTTCCCTGGAGATAGGGATACAACAGGAACACATACCTCATGCCAATTCATTTCCATGCCCAAAGAGCTTAGTCATGGGCAGGTAACGCTGTTACCTGTAGGGAGGCTGGAGGCTGTGAGTGTGGGTTATGGAGCTAAACTGCCTGGGTTCAAATCCCAGCCTCACAATTTAATGCCTGTGTGACCTGGGGCAACTGACTGGACACGTTTATCCCTCAGTTTCCTCATCTGTAAATTGGGAACAGTAATTGTACCCAGCTCTGAGAACTATCACGAGTACTGAATAAGACAATGCATAGAAAGGACGCAGACCAGAGCCTGGCTCATAGGAAATGCTTAACAAACACCACCTATTATCATTGTGGGTGTGGGCCTTTTGGTCTGTTCCATCTCCTTTCCTCTCAGGAGCCTTCTCTCCCTGTCTGTAAAAAACCAGCCTAAGGTTCTAAGGGAGCCTACAGCTTTCAAACCCCAGAGGGCACGTGACTCAGTCCTAGCCAATCAGAGCCCTCTTCCCATGGCCACAACCATAGGTTCACTTGACCTGAGTGGGCCTTGGAGTCCTTCCAGGGTTTTTGCTAGAAGTTCCAGGAAAGACACTTGCTCCTCTCTGGGATGACAAGGTCTTAGGTCTGGTCATCCCAGAGCTGCCACAGCTGTCTTTCCCACCAGGCGGTGAGGGCCCATGGAGAGTGAAGCCAGCTCGAGGAGAGCGCGCTGAGTGAAGGGGGAAGCCTGGTGCCAGTGCTGCCCCGGGATCCTGGGGCCAGCTCGCCAGGCCAGCCGCGCCTGCAGGTTATTCACCCAGAGTCCGTGGAAGCCAGGGGCGGGTTTTTGTCTCTTGTGACTGAAGGAGCAAGTGACTAGGTCTACAGGCTGGAGAGTTTTACAGCCCACTTCTTTCACGGATAAACTGCCTGCGGGCAGGGACTGTTTTTGGGGAAATTCACCCGCTCTAAGTATTCTGTGTATAAGAAGGCACTCAAAAATTTCTCATTCTCACAAGTGGATACTTTGATCAATGGGGCCCCTCCTCAAGTGGTTTGGGGGCTGAATCTAGCCTTGAACTATCCCCTTAATTCAGGCCACCTTTCCATGCACACGGGTGGTTCACAAATGGCTGCTCCCACAAACATTTAACCCACATCGCTTTGCGCCAGGATCGGCAGGGGCAACACTGGGATGTGGTCCAGCCCTCAGGGATCTTGGACTCTTGGAAAGGGTGTGTGTGTGTGTGTGTGTGTGTGTGAGAGAGAGAGAGCAGACAAGATCCCACTGACAGTAATAAAATGTCAAGTTAGATGAGTGTTGTCAGCCACAGTGGGTAGTCTGGGAAGGAGGGAGCCCAGAGGGTGAGAGGTCTGTGGCCTGCACCTGTTAGCACAACGCCCTGCAGACACAGCCTGCATCCTCTCTGCCTCCCACTCAACCTGATGCCCACAGGTGAGGAAAACAAACACCCCATCCTTTCCCAATCAGCCGAACTTCCCCAGCACAGACACAGAAGGAGAGTAAATTACCTTATGTCAAACTACGGTTTAATCCAATCTCGGCAGAGAGCACCACGCTGCTCATGTGATTTAAACAAGTTCCCCCTTTTCCAAAAGCAATTATGAGATCTCATGTACTGTGTTGTGACTGCTTAAGGGTTCATCTGACAACATCTTTTCTCTCCATATGGTGTTTGCTGTCAGTATGGAAACAAGGCTGCTATAAACTCACAGCATAGTAAACACCATGTGATTCCAACACAAGCTGTCAGCACCTCAGTTCCGTGCCGCTCCCAGCTGTACACAGGATCCCAGCCACCGGCTGGAAGCCCAGGAAGCAATAAAAGGATCACTAATCATCTATTCAGAGTCTTTTCTCAGCCTTGAGTGAAGATAAATGGGCCGATCTTCTGAGGAAGCACCACCACCACCGATAAAACCAAAGTGGAACGTTTGAGCTTCCCTTAGAAGCAGAGAACAAAGCCACGGAAGGTGGATGATGAATGTGGGATTGATCGAGGTGACAGGACAGGCTGGGAAGAGCAGCGACAGAACAAAACTGCAGAAAGCAGGACTGCTGGCAACGTACAAGAAGGGGGCACACACTGCCCTCATGATTTAGGGCTGGTTACAGGATGGCATCCATGGGACAGCACGTTCGAATATGGGAATGGGGTGACAAGTGTGCCGACGGCAGTGCCAGCAGGGGAGAGGCTGAGTGCTGGAGATGAAGAAGAAAAAGGTCAAAGCCAGAGAAATGGGGCCAGAGTCAGGGTCAGGGGCAAGGAGCAGCCACAGTGAGGAGGTAAATCCCAGGTCAGGAGCCAGGAGGTGTGTTCAGGCAAGAATTCAAGGCTCAATCTGAGATCACTGCAGGGAGTCTTCGAGAATGGCTGAAAGTGTATGAAGGATCCACAAAAAATTAAAAATAAAACCACCATATAATCTAACAATCCCACTTTTGGGTATTTACCCAAAAGAATTGAAATCAGGATGTCAAAAAGATACTTGCCCTCCCATGTTTATTGTGGCGCTACTCACACTACCAAGATGTGGAAAGAACCTAAAAGACCATTGACCACTGAATGGATTAAAATGCGGTGTATACATACAGTATATACATACAACTGTCAACCAACAGAGGGCGCAGCAAGACCAGGGGCCCACCCTCACCACCACCTTGTGAAGTTTGGGTGCTTTGCTGAGAACCTTGTCTCCTACAGTCATAATAATCTATAGTCTATAGTCATAATAATCTACTAATGGTACCCCCACCTCAGGTCCACTGTCAAGGACACCTGCAATAGACTGAATGTTTGTGTCCCCACCCTAAAATGCACACAGGGAAACCTAATCCCCATTGTGTTGGTATTTGAAGGTGGGGCCTTTGAGAGGTGACTCGGTTACGAGGGTGGAGCCTTCATGAGTGAGATTAGTGCCTTTATCATAGAGACTCCTAAGAGCTCCCTCATCCCTCTGCCACATGAGGACACAGCAAGAAGGTGGCCATTTATGAACCAGACAGTGGGCTTTCACCAGACACAGAATCTGCCAGCACCTTGATCTTGAACTTCCCGAACTCCAGAACTGTGAGAAATACATTTCTGTTGTTTACAACCCACCCAGTCTATGGTATTCTGCACAGCAGCCCAAACGGACTAAGTTGTTATCTAGTCCTGGGGAAGTGCCTTAATTCTGCCTGGCGTATCACACGGGCAACCAAGTGAGCTGTTGCTACCAAGAATTAGCAATACATGTTAAGTGCCTGGCCCGGACTCAGCACATAGTAGGTCCTACATAAACAGCTGCCATTCGAATAGATCATATCTCCTCTAGAAGACTCAAATATGGTGGCTTTTTTACTCCTCTGAAGATGCAGGGGGGAAAACAGGGGATGTAGCTGGTGAAAGGGGACTTGACTGCATCAGCACCAAAGAAGGGAAAAGCCTCTCCACCCATGGCTGAGCCACTGGAGGACTCCACGCCCCAGGAGGGCAGGGGCCAAGGCTCTGCAGGCCTCTTTCCCTTGCTTTGAGCCTCTCTCTCAGAGAGAAGCCACACGTGTCCTCACAGCACATGGCCGAGGTTAAAATCTCACAACCCACAGTCAATTCCTTCAAGACTCATAACCCCCCATGGGACTTAGAAACAGAAATGATATTGATCGTGAAGATAAATAAATGCTGTCACTGTTTTCATTCCTTTCGAGTGACATGAAATGGGAACATACTTTCTTAATTAGGAGCCTGTGGTATGTGGACGCTTGGAGGGCAACCAGATTTTCCCAACTGAGGGCCAGGGCACAGGCATGGCTCCCCTCAGATGGCCAG